GAATTCGTTGATTCGATATTAACCCCATTATAATAATTTACGACTCCCTTGCTCACCCCCGTAGCTTGCTTGCACAAGTGAAGTTGCTTCAGATATTAAACATATATCAGCTATATGGGTTAGGCTATATATATATATATATATCGTAGGGCTTCCGGTTCAGGGTTCGATGATGGTTTAATAAGGTGCTCTCTCCACTCGTGCCCGTCGTTAAATTATGGGATGTACCCTTGGAACTGCTAGCATATAATTTATGATGGCCAAGATACAGACTCCTGGGGAGAGAACCCCATCACTGCAGCCCCACGGTGCTTAACCCCACGGGGGGACAGCATCTCTGCAAGCCTGTCCGCCGCCTGCAGGTCGGCCTCCTCTGCGCATGCTGGAGCATCCGCATCCTCCTGGGATCGGTGTAAAAAAAGGGAGACCGCAGGAAGTGGAAGGCTAGCTATCGATCGGATTATTTTAATGTTGATAAGCAACTTCCTCCGAAGCTTCATCCGACTTCGAAGCCTTCAGGTGCCACATGCGCTTCAGCACATCCACCTTCTGGTTCCTGCCGGTAGCACTAATTACCAGATGATGTTTCGATTGGTATTAATTGGACATTAGGGGGCGAGTTATGTTGATTTAATTAATTAGCTCATCATTTAAAGCTATCTTATAATGTGATCCTCCGGACTTAAAGAAACCCACTCGTACTTGAGCCTAGACCTTCTTCTAAAAAGTATGCCTCGATCCTACTTCAAACTTATATAGGCTAGGCTACACTCAAATCCAGGTAATTTCACATTATGGGAACCATCTGCATGCAGCAGGAGTTTTAAAATCTGTATGTGCACATAGCTACTGTCGGACCAGGCACACAGCACCTGCAATCGACCCATGCCCGAAACACACATACACAATGCAACTAGAAATACATACTATCTATGTAGACTATATACAATCTAAATACACAACATGCACATGTCCATGTAAGCAAAATGTGTCTGCATGCATGCAACATGTAGCCTATATGTGTACCTGTACATGCATACGTATATGTATCATCGTCATGTTATGTGCTCTGGATGCACAGAATTCTGAAGATAATCGAAATGGAAATGCTACAATTCCCAGTCCCCAGCACCTGGCAGCATCGGACTTCCTCAGGGATTTCGTGAGGTGGGTCAGCATGGTCCGGAAGCGTGCAGCTTCAACACGTCCCCACTCCTGAGTGTGTTCTTGTTTATTTGCTTTGTTGCCACATAAATTTGGCCATCATGACCGTGACAGCTCACCTAAACATGTGTATGAATGCTTACAAGCTACACGACATTTTCCTTTGCCGCCTCGCTGATGATAAATCGTTTCTCCGTGGAGATTTAGACTGATGCTGAGCAAGACAAACGCTGTTTCGAAGTCACCCAATGCCGACAGTGCTGGAGCCATCTCCAGTACATATTCCTTCAGTAGGCCATAATTTCTTTCCAGGTCCGCATTGTATACCTAGGTCGCATGTTCACTACACCACCCTCGGACTCTTGCATGCAACAATACCATGGAGAAAGCATGGACAAGTCACGGTGGGCTTCTCACGGCCGGCCCATTCAACAAAGGATCGCTCCTTAATAAGAGCCATTGCCAATATACTGTGTAACATTACCCCGTGGCCCGTGATGCAAATATATACCTTTAAAGGTTTGACAAGGCACCAGAGGGGTCGGCACGCTCATGATATGCGCAAGCTGGGCCTTCAGGACCGGTAGCAGGGCATCGTGGATGGAGTCCGCAACAGCCTCGAGCGGGGTATTGTTTATAATGCCCATGATGCTTATTGCCAGAGCTCAAAACAACACCAATCATTGTAGTGTGCCATGCACAGCCGACATGAACCAGAGACTGAATGCAGGCAATGCGCCGTGATATGCAGTGTCATGGGCTCGTGCACAGTTCTCACATCATCCCTGGCCACCTTGGCCTTTGCTTTGGCTTGTGCCTGTCGCACGGGAGCTACATACCGCAAGACAGCTACACTGGGCTCACACAGTTATTCCGTGCCACCTTTGGCACAGCAATAGCATCGGCCATTCCGCAGACCCAGCTACAGCCGCTTCTGCAAAAATGAGCTTCAAAGCCTGCAGAATCCCCCATACATGTGGCATAGCAACTGATCTGCATGTGCATGCCGGTACTCATTCATCACAGCAAGTAATGTGCAGGCAAGTGCAAAGCGGGGGGGGGGCGGGGCGGACCCTTCACACGGCTTTGGCCCAAGTAGGCCGAGTGCCGCAAAAGGCCCATGGCCCGCACATCTATGTCAACCGTTCATGTCTGTAGCCTATATCCGTGTGTACATGTGTGCACATGCTCAGCTGACATGCAGAAGCTAACTTAGACCACATGGTAGTACGTAGAGCATGCCCGATATGTCCTACGAGGATCCCATGATCATGCCTCGGACAGGCCATGTTGCATTTAAAACACCAAGACGTGACCCCCCCCTCTCCATAAAGCCCGATTTAAGCCTAATTTTACCTATTTGAGACCTTTGGCCGAGAGGCCCAACATACAGAAAGTTACCGAAAGACCCTGCCTAGAGAGCGATCTCGAAAGTATACGATTATCGGGTCCTCGGACCCTTAGGGCTAAACCCTAAACCCTAAACCCTAAACCCTAAACCCCTAAACCCTAGACCCTAAACCCCTAAACCCTAAACCCTAAACCCTGAAGCCTAAACCGTCATCTGATACAGACCTCGAAATCCCCAAGTCTCAGGTTCGGGCCTCAGGAGTGACAGCGGGGTTTCTAGAAAGCCACAAGACGTAGGAGCCCAATAGGTAAACTTTAAACTTTCCCTAAGGGTCCATGTACCCAAATAGAGATACTTTGGCCTTAAAGAAGTCCCTATATAGGTACTTTGGGGCCAATGTATATCCTATATGAGTACATGGACCCTTAGGGTTTTTTGGTATATGAAACCCCTACTAAAAGAAAAGTTTAAACTTTTTTGGGCCAGGGTACTGGGCTTAAAGGAAGAAGCCAAACCTGCTTCAGCAAATGGGCCAATCGGGCTTCAGCTCCTACAGACATGGTTTAGGGTTTAAGGGCTTAGGGTTTAGGGTTCAGTAGAGAAGTCCTGAACGCAACTATTTTGAAACCGGTTTCGGTCTTAGGTGTCCAGTCAAACAGAAGCCCCTAAACCCTGAACCCTTAGCCCTAAATCCTCAAACCCCTCCGGCAGGTTATGCCCCGCCAAGACCGAGGGGGACACTTGGATGTTGATTCAAGCTTCGCGGCTCTGGCGTGCTGCGGGGAATTGGAGTGGTAATGAGGTTTGGAGTTTATGGATTTAGGGCTTATAGGGTTTTGAGGGTTTGGGGTTTAGGATTTAATAGGGCTTTGGGTTTATAAAGTCTGGGGATAATGGTTGGGTTTGAGACTTGACACCAAAAACCTTCTCCGACTGTTGTCGAACCTGTCTGAGCCCTACGCCCTACGCTTTCGTTCCAAACCTGTCCCGTTGGGAAGATTATGTATGTTACTCCCGCTTCTACAAAAACATAGAATCGCCGTTTTCCTTTGTGGTCCAAGGGGCTTATGCCTTTGAGCGCTCTGAGTTCGGTTTTCCGGGGCTTAAATCCTAAACCCTAAACCTCTAGACCCTGGTTTAGGGTTTAGGGAATTCTTCGTAACTCTATTCCAGAGCGAGAGTAAGGGCTCGCTTCAATTATTCAGGCGTCTACAGTTGGTTTCAGGCTTTGCGAACGTCGGGTTGTGGCTTGAGTGGCCCTTAAAGGGTTATACCCTAGAGTTACGACAAGGGATCATCCATTGTTGTGTCGGGTTCAGGGCATTCGGTTTGAAGGATTATGTTGTGTTTGTGCTCAGGCCGCAAGGCACTGTAGATTCAGACCCTCTAGCCTGAGCCCACGAATAATCGGCACGATTGCATCCGCCCCCATTACGTATCCTACGAATCTGTGGACGGATTGATGAAGAGTCAAGTTTGGGTTTTGTTCGAGGGATATTCCGGCACCGTTGTCAAATCTGGTTTACAAGGCCCGAACCCTAGCAGGAACCTGCAGCAGCACCTTGTCATAAACATCATGCCTCCGATGATTCTGCCTGCCGGCAACTAGAATCCCTGTCGAACAAAGGCAACTCGCAAAGCAAGCGTAAGCCTTATGGCACTCCCGGCAGTGTACAGGGCATAGCATCCCCTCCACGATGAGCCCAGCGCCGTTGCTGATCCCAGGCTGTATGCCCGAAGCCCTACAGACTTCTTCAATACCTAAATACCTACAATGACACTGTCAATGTAGAATTCGGTGTCAGAGCCCCGGATAAAACACTGGCTCTGCAACTGTTACTTGGGCGAGAGCCAGACAGAGAGAGAGAGAGAGAGTGAGTGAGTGAGTGAGTGCGTGAGTGAGCGAGTGAGTGAGTGAGTGAGTGAGTGAGTATGTGTCTGTGAGAGAGCGAGCGCGTGCGTGCGTGTTGCGTGCGGTGCAAAACTACACTACCAACGAAACAGCCCGATGCCTGCGACAGAAGGTTCAGAACTCCTTATCATGCGGAAAACCTCTGTTGGCACCTGTTGGTCCAGGGAACCGCTAGCCTTCGAGTTGTTGTGTTTGTTGTTGTTATTGCTGGTGGTTGTGGTGATGGTGGCCTCGGTGGTGATATTCCGTTTCACTTGCAGTAGTCCTACAATGTCAGCACAGCCATCGTTACGACGATGACGACAGAGGTGCTGACGACAAGTTTGTTGTCATCTTTGCGATGCGCTGTACGGTGCTATGTATCTTGTGTCTACACATCCACTTCCTTTGAGCCTTTGAAGATTCGTATTATCCCCTACTTGGAGGCCCAGGGGACTTAGTAAGTCGGTTATAAGTAGAGTTATAATTGGGGTAACTCCATTCAGGGGACTTATAACTCTACTTATAACCTACTTACTAAGTCCCTTGGGCCTCCAAGTAACAAAGGAATGTTTCGGGACCCCACAAGAATCTAAGAAAGTCGGGTTTTTGGCAGTTCAAGTGAGGCCTAAACCCAAAACCCCTAAACCCCAAACCCCTAAACCCTAAACCCCAAACCCTAAACCCCTAAACCCCAAACCCCTAAACCCCTAAACCCCTAAACCCCAAACCCTGAAGGGTCTTTGAGGCTGCAGGCTGTGGGGTTTCCGGGGTCTTCGGCCGCCCAGGACGCAACTTTACCCGGGAGGCAGATCAGCATTGAGGCAGGGGTTCAGGGTTTCGAGTTTCGGGTAATATGGGTAGTTTTTTGAATTAGGGTCCCTCTTGGGGGTCCCTAAATAATAGGTGCCGTAGTATAATAAGGACCCAAAAAGGGGACCCTAATTTAGAGAACTACCCATATCGAAGCCGAAATACATCACCAATATTTTCCTTAGGGTTCCTTAGACTATTCTTGTTGTAGCATTTCTTAGGGTTCCTTATATTATTCTTGTTATAGCATTTCGATCTAGGGTTCCTTGTATTATTCTTGTTATAGCATTTCTTAGGGTTCCTTATATTATTCTTGTTATAGCATTTCTTAGGGTTCCGTATATTATTCCTATTATAGCATGAAGGAGCCCAAGCCCTATTCTAAATATCAAGGCTCCTAAATTACAAAGAGGCGCGGTAGGTGGCAACACCTGAGCCTGAAGCCTTGGGGATGTAGGGTCCATATACGCTTAAAACGTACTAGTAGGGTTTAGGGTTTAGGGTTTAGGGTTTAGGGCATCTACACTTGACTAACTCCTAAACCCCTAATAACCCCGAGCCCTAAACCCTAAACCCTTACCAGCCCATGCAACCTCAAGATTCTGAAATTTTCTTGGGCCTCGCCTTCAACATTTACAGTGTATTCTTGTTTAGGGTTTAGGGTTTATGGCTTTGTGCTGAGTCTTTGGACCCCAATGCTCGCGAGAAGTCAGGCTCAACAAGCTAACAGTTTTCTTTTGTCGTTGCATCCATGGCGACCAGCGCGCCGCTCCTGGGTAAGGAAGGCAAGAAGGCCGCCCATAGCAAGGCATCCATCTTCTACGGAGCAGATGAGTATCTTGAGGAGCTTAAGAAGAAGTACGATTTGGGATTATATTGAGTTTCCCGTTTGGTCCTAGAGAGGTTCACCGTAAGCCCGAAACACTGACTACACGCTGTGCTAGGTTAACCCCGACCAAAACCCTTAAACCTAATTAAATCCAGACTCCTCATACAACAACTCTTTGAACATCCGTGGCCAATATGGAAGCCTAAATGATTCTCAAAATTACTTCTTATACCTAGGTTTCGTTGTTACCAACATACTAGAAGTTATTTCTTCACGATGCCCCCGATGTTACCCTAATCCCTAGACTTCGGACCCTAAACTCTAAAGGTAGTACAGCCCAGGCTTGCCTTGGAACGAGTTCCTGGCACAGGATCCGGGCCGCACCTGGCCTGTCCTTCATAACGTGATGGCCATGGTTCTGGGAGGCGGCTTTGGACTCTTAACATTACAGCAGGTGTTCAGGGTTTTGGAAAGTGTGATTCGGAAGAGTTGCAGGAAAGCACCGCTGGAACGAGATGCTCTTCCACGATGCGGCTCGGCTGTAGTTGCGAGCAAGTCAGACCCCAGAGATATGCAAGAGATGTTGTCGAACGCAGCTTTATTCAGCAGTGCTCGGATGTCTCAGGTACATCATGCGTTCCCCAACGCGGTCGGCACGCTGAGCCAGCGCGGCCGCTTCCATGGCTGGGAGAAGGTGCACGACGCTGCCGCCGAGGTTCTGCACCGTGGACTGTGGAAGCCCAATGGTGATGAGGAGACCCAGATGCAGAAGACCCAGAAGAAGCGCTCTTTGATGATGAAGCAGGGCAAGTAAGTCCCAATAAGTCCCTCAATCAAACTTCTGAGCTTCCGGGAAAACCCGATAAAGCTCTGTACAGAGTCCACCACAAGCAGTGGTGGTTCCCATCCATTGTCGGTGCTTGCATGTACAGTAATGACCAAGGTTCCGTCTATGACGTGAGCCGACTGCCTGGGAAGGCATGTTGCTTCCCAGACATTTTCCTTGGCTTGAGATGGCGTCGCTTGGAAGAGACAAAAGTGTGCACACAAAGAAGGCGGCTCGGGGGCTGTATCGCAGATGCTGCCAGACTGTGATTTGTGTTTGGGCGCATGTTTTTTTTTATCACAGAGCCCACAGTATGATAATGAAGGATCCCTCTATACTTGTTTTGACAGCCAGCAGAGTTTTCCAGTTAGGGCCAGAGCGGCTAGGGCTTTGAGAAGTTGAGAATTTCTAGGGCTCTTCGGAGTTTCATTCACGTTGGTTTATATCCGCTTCCTGAACTAGTTGAGTCTGGCAGTAGTCTTATTCCACCCACAACCGCCCGACACAAATGCTAAGCCCCACACTTAAACCGAAGCCCCTAACCCTGAACCCTAAACCCTAAACCCTGAACCCTAAACCCAAAATAAACCCTAAACCCTGAACCCTAAACCTAAACCGTGCACTCAGAGGCCGTGGCCTTGGATCTTGGGCAGCGGGCAGAGCTTTGTTTGCTGCTTTTCTCGCTGGAGGCCTCCTGGGTTCAAGAACTTGAAACTTGTGGGTTTCCGAAAATTAGGGGTACCTTATTTTGGGTTTAGGGTTTAGG